TATTTCAATAAAAGACACATGTCATTAATCCTCCACAAAATATTCACTCTTGCTTTGAACAAATTTGTCTCATTGTTTTTACCACTTTCTGAAGAAGTTCTGGAAATCCTCTTTCTTGAATATTTTTATGAGGTGTGATTAAAAAATAAGATGAATTTGGTGTGTGCTGCTGCCAAGTGCCATCCAATGGAAAGGCAGGCTCATAAAAACATTATGGTGTGTCCTCATCTACCTTATTTCCCAAATCTGGTACCATGTAACTTCTGACTTTTCCCTAAAGTCATAATGACCATGAAAGGTAAATGTTTTGAATCAATCCAAGCCATGGAGATAGCCATGACAGTACAATTAAAGACACTCATCAAAGAGAGCTTCCAGAATGGTTTCAGAAAGTAGCCGGAGCACTGGGATGTATATTTGAAGTGAGGTGAAGTATTTTGAGAGTCATTAATGGCAGCATGTCTTATGCTGTAATAAAATATTTTTAATAGTCATATTTTTCATCCATGCCTCCTATTAGGATGATCACATATAGGTTTTGTCTTTCATTCTGCTGATGTGGTATACCATGTATATTGAGTTGCAGGCATTGAACCATCCTGGGATGAATTCCATTTAACCACGCCAATAATCTTTTTAATGTGCTGTTGGATGAAAACTGCTTTTATTTTGTTAAGAGTTTTTACATCTATGTTCATCAAAAATATTTTCTGTAGTTTTGTTTGTTGTGTTCTTACCTAGTTTGGGTATTAGCATAACACTAGCCTTGTAGAATGTGTTTGGAACCTTTCTTCTTCTATGTTTTAGAATAACATAAGGACAATTTGTATTAGTTCTTCTTTAAGTGCTTAGTAGAATTCAGCTGTGAAGTCATCAGGTCCTGGGCTTTTCTTTGATATGAAGCTTTCATTATTTACTGAATCTCGTTGCTTCTTATTGGCCCACTCAGGTTTTGTATTTCTTCATGATTCAATCTGGGTAAGCTGTATATATCTAGGAATTTGTTCATTTCCTCTAGGTCAGTGGTGGCCAATCTATGGCACATGTGCTACAGTGGGCTGTTTGTATCATTGGAAGCTCTAAAAGATTGGCATCACTGCTCTAGGTTATCAAATTTTTGGCATATAATTATTCATAATAATGCCATATGATCTTTTGTTATATTTCCCTTTTCATCTGATTTGATTCTTTTCTCTCCTTTTCCTTGTCTAGTTATGATTTATCTATTCAGATTACTGTTTTGAAGATCAAATTCTTTGTTTTGTTGATCTTTCGGATTTTTCTTTGTCCCTGTTTCACTTATTTCTGCTTTGATTTTTTATTATTTTTTTTCCTTCTACTAATTTTGGATTTGGTTTGTTCTTGCTTTTCTACTTCCTTGAGATGGAATGATAGGTTATTTATTTGAGATTTTTCTACTTTCTGGTTTGGGAATTGATTGCTATAAACTTCTCTTTTTTTTGGTACCAGGGATCGAACTCAGAACCTTGTGCTTGTGAGACAGGTGGCAACACCACTGAGCTGAATCCCTGGCCCTATAAACTTCTTTCTTAGAATTTCTTTTTGCTATAGTTCGTAGATTTAAGTGTGTTGTGTCTCTATTTTCATTTATTTCAAGAAATTTTAAAGTTTTCTTTTTGATTTCTTCCTTGTCCCATTGATTGCTCAAAAGTAGGTTGTTTAGTATCCATATATTCATATACTTTTCCAAACATTTTATTATTATTGATTTCTAGCTTTATTGATTTATGGTAAGAAAAGATACTAGACATGATTTCAATTTCTAAATATTTCTTCAGATTTGTTTTGTGGCCTATCATACGATCTATGCTGAAGAATATTTTATGTGCTGATGAGAAGAATGTGTGTTCTACAGAACACCTACCTATAGTTATTTGATGAAATGTTCTCTAGTTGTCTGATAGGTCCATTTGGTTTGGGATGCAATTTATCATTACTTCTTTGTTGATTTTCTGTCTAGATGACCTATGCATTGCAGAAAGTATAGTGTTAAATTCTTCAACTATTATTATGTTGAAATCTATCTCTCCCTTTAGGTCTATTAATATTTGCTTTATATATTTGGGTGCTCCAATATTGGATCCATATATATTTAGGATTATTTCCTCTTATGAAATTGATTTTTTTTAATTATATAATGACCTTCCTTGTCCCTTTTTATGGCTTTTACTTTTAAAGTCCATTTTATCTGATGTAAGTATGGCTGCTCCTGCTTCTTTTATATTTCATTTGCATGGAATATCTTATTTTATCCATTAAATTTCAGTCAATTTGTGTCCTTGGAGGTGAAATGAGCTTCTTATAAGCAAAATATAGTCAAGTATTGCTTTTTTATTCATTCAGTCCTGGTATGTCTTTTAATTGGAGAATTTAGTTCATTTAAAATCAGGCAAGGGCCGGGGATTTAGCTCAGTGGTTCCGGCGCCTGCCTCACAAGCTCAAGGTCCCGAGTTCGATCCCTGGTACCCCACCACCCCCGAAAAAAAAATCAGGCTAATATTTGGTTTATGCATTATGCTCACCACATTACAACATTCTGAATTCGTCTGTGATTTTTCATACCAGTGAGTTTTATATCTTTCTATGTTTTTTCATTCACTGATATATGTCTTTCAGTTTACAAACTTCCTTTAACATTTCGTGTACAAGATGCCTGGTGGAAATACATTCTCAGCTTTTGTGCAGGAGTCTTTATCTCTTCTTCATTTCTTTCTTTCTTTTTTTTTCCAGTACCGGGGATAGAACTCAGGACCTTGTGCTTGCGAGGCAGGCACGGTGCTACTAAGCAACATCCCTTTTACCTCTCCTTCATTTCTAAAGGATACTTTTGCTCCATACAGTATTCTCAGTTGTCACTTTTTTTCTTCAATACTGTGAAAATCTCTTGTTATTCTCTCTTGACCTGTCAGGTTTCTGCCGAGAAGTCCCTTGTCCACGTGTGTTGTTTCTTCTCTTGGAACCTTGAAAATCTTTTCTCAATCTCTCACCTTTGAGAGCTCTGTTAGACTTGGTTGAGTTAAATCTTACTGTTGACCTTTGACCTTCCTGTGTCTGCATCTTTATATCTTTTTCTAGATTTGGGAAGTTTTCTGCTATTGTTTCTTTGAATAAACTTTTTATCACTTTGACATTCTTAAGTCGATCCTGAACTCCAAAAACCCAAAACATTTGCTCTTTTGATGCTGTCCCAACATTCTTCTAAGCCTTTTTTGTTTTTCTTTTAGACAGGGTCCCCGTTTGTAGTTCAGGCTGGCTTTGAACTCACTGTGCAACCCAGACTGGTCTCCAACTCACAGCAATCCTCCTGCCTCAGCATCCTCAGTTCTGGGATTACACATGTGCACCACCATTCTTGGCTCATTCTTTTAAGCTTTCTTCATTGTTTTTTGTCCTGTGTTTAGTTTTGAAAAGTTTTTGACTATTTTCCATTGTCTTTGAGTTCACTAAATTTTTTCTGTTTCATCTATCCTGCTACATGCTCTGTATTATGTTTTAAATTTCACAGAGTGTATTTTTTAGTTCAAGAATTTCCTTTTAATTTCTTAAACTGTTGTTGTTTCTCTGTTAGGGTATTAAAAAGTTTCCCTGTGTTTTCTTCAAGCTCGTAGAAATTTCTTGAAACAACTGTTTTAAATTCTCTGTGAGTTCTCCCATACAGATTACTACCTGGTTTATTTCTGGCACCTTATTTTGAATATTAGGTGAGGTCACGGCTTCCTGAAAGCCCTTGATACTTGTTGGCATGCAATGTCATTTAGGCATTTCAGTCTTTCTATTCTGGCTTTGTTTGTGCCTGTATTTCCAGAAAACCTAAGCTTATTCTTACTGTAAATTTAAGCCCACAGGAATATTTATTCTGAGCCTGTGGTCGCTTTTACTGTTTCAGCACTGGATTTTCCAGGAGTCAACTATTAGTATGTTATCACTGTTTTAGAATTAGAGGGTCAATCCATGCCTAAGTTTGTCCTAAACGAACTGTTGGCATATTGTTCAGAAAGAACCATGGAAAAACAGTGTCCTTACAAGCTTCTCCCTAGGGCCAGGGTAGGTCCAGATGATTCATCCACAGTAATCAGCCTGTGGTCAGGGACTTGCACCGTGTTATGCTTCCCAAGTTTGGGGTAGTATCAGTGAAGACAGTCACTTGGCAACCTAGGCTGATGCTAAGACAATCACACCTGAGTCTCACACCTACAAGGACCTGCACAGTCTCAGGGATGCAATGAGGCAAAAGCATAGCTGGTGGTGATGCAGGACAAAACACCACTCTATCCCATTGGGGCACAGGTGTGTCTGCCTGGTGCCAGGGGAATCCTAGATCCCCATCTATGATCACTGGCCTGGTGAAAGTGGTGTTGTCTAAGATTGGGGGCTGACTGGTGGGGACAGTTACTTGGCTAAACTAAACATTAATGCTAAACTTAGTCACAGCCAAGTCTCACATCTACAGAGGACTGCCCTGTTCTGGCAAAGATAGATGTGGCCTAGTCACACTTTGAGACCGAACCAGTGCGTTCCAAAGCTCAAGTCTGTCCTACTAGTACACAAGTCTCTGCCTGATGCTGAGCAAGGCTAGGGATTCTGTCTTTGAGCTCTGACCTGTGTACAGGGACTTTAGCTTCGACTGGGCATTGGGTCTCACTACAGCAGGCTTTTTGGAACTGGGCTCTAAAATAATGCTTCATGTATACTTTTGTGTAATGCTCCCCAAGGACTAGAGTCCTTCTCCCAGCTCTGCTACTGGAGGATGCAGGAGGGATGATGGCAACAGTCAGTGGCCTTGCCTAACTCACTTTCAGTGGCTTAGTCCGTAGGTATTAGCCTGGAGGGAGAGATTGAGGGCCTTTGTCCAGCACCGGGTCTCATGATGATGGGCATGATACTCGGTTTCAAGTCTAAGGCCTGGACTTCATTCTCTTTTCTCTATCCAAATATCTTTTCTCTATCCATTCTTCATTCTCTTTTCTCTATCCAAATAGGAGATGTCTCTTCCCTCGGTGGGCAGCTTAGAGTTGGTGGAGGGGTGCCATAGGCAACTGTTTTCTCCTTTCTTCAAAAGTGTCTTCAGTTGGATATGCTAAAAGTAAGTAATGAGATTGCACACCTGATTTCCAACATTTTCAAGAGGCCAGCTCATACCATGGGAACCATGCAGGCTCATGGGACTAAGACATTAATTCTAAAATCTATAGATGGAATAGTCAAACAGTGAAAAGAGGCTTTCTTCTCTCTGGCCTTTTAAAGTTAAATGGAGAGAATATTAGTTTTTAATATCCAAAGAGTGGAAGTGGAAACTTAAAAAGAAAATTTGAACCACGGGGACCTTGCCTTTTCCCATGACTAAGACCTTTGCTAAACTCAAGACATGTATTGTGAAACAGAACCGCACAAACTTTGACTGTGTCTGTCAAAGACAAGGTTTGAAAACACAAAACTGTTATCTCTCAAGAGTTTGGGAGAGCATGTTAGAAAGTTTGTGACTCATGACATAATTTCTTATTTATTCCTGTTGTTTCTTTGCTGCCCAGCAACAACCAGGCAAGACATGCATGATGAGGAGTCTGTCCCCTGAATGGAAATGCTAATATGATTGGCCCATCCTGTTTCAGGGGCACAGTGTATAAATTGCTTCTGCCTTCATTCTCAACCCACTGAATTCCTGATGGTTGACACTCCCTCTCCTCCCCACAGAGCACAACAAGTAGACACTCTTGTTTTATATGAACTATTTATTGGCTCATATGACTTCTCCACTCAAGAATATCATGTGATTTGTTTTTGTATTAATAAACATTGAACACTAGTAGGTCATGTTTTTCTGCCTTGACATCTGGTGTTCTTTGTTATACATATGGTCCAGAGATCACAAACACAGGGAATGAAAGTAACAGGTAGCAATGGGCTGCACACATTTTATGGGGGAGGGGGAATAATTGTAAACATTATTTTGGATCAGATATACTTTCCTCAACTTGTTTCCGGACAAAATTTAGTTAGGAGTTCTAGATAATGGAAGTTTATCTTTTCACATCCTGTATTATATATCAATCATATATTGTATTAGCTCATATTTTATTTTATACATATTTTATTTAATATATACTATTTTATGGCTCATCCACACAATGATTTTTTTTGATGATGCTAATCATTTAAAACTATCTTACCAACTATGTGATTTTTTAAAAAATACATTAGCTATAGTTGACAAAAATGGTGGCATATGGCTAGTGACACATTGTGATGTTAATATAAAAGACCATACATACACAGGGTTGCAAATATACCCCAAGGAATTCTGTGCCTTGTGTTTTTCTATTTTTACCCTTTATCTTCTTGACTGGACTCTATAGACAGGAGTGAGGGCTTCATCCTCTGGATCCTATGGTAACAGGTTGTTGTCCTGTTGGTTCCCTTTTCACATTGCTGTTTCGTGTTTTACATATCCAGGAGGGTAAAAGTTGGGGGTCATTCATATCCCTAGCACCTGCAGTCATACGTGTGTTTGGTGTAAGTGCTTAATGTATGTGTGTCAAGTGAAAGAACAGTTTCTCCCATATCATTTTCTTCTATTTTGTGTTCTAGGATTCAGATTCTGGTTGCATCTGACCTACCATGGAAAAACTCCCCCAGTTACAGGCAGAGCTGGCTATTTGCCCTGGGAAATTCTCAGAAGGTGATATGATCCATGCTTGCTTTTTCAAATTTGAGGATTTTTCTTTCAAGTTATCTGTATCAGTGCTATTTCTTTAGCATTTCTATATTTTCCCCAAAGAGGAAAGAATTGTTTTGGCTTTCTTTCTCTCTTTAAAAAAATTATTAGAAATTCCTCTTTTACTTTCATCAAGGTATATGTGACAAGTAAAAATTACATATATTTAAGGTGTATGATGTAATGTTTTGATATATGTATGCATTGTGAAATGATTTACCACAAACCTTTTTTCTTCGTGTCACACATATTGATAGCTTCTGTTTGTCACAATATATCTTCTTTGAAAATAAAAACTCTCTCAAAACTTAAAAAATTTTCTAATTTACAAATTAATAATTTCTTCAACATTTTGGTCTACTTGTTTGGCTGTTACTCAGATTAGTATCTTTAAAAAAGCATTTCACTTTCAAGGGAAAAAAGAAGTTATATCAGGCCTGGATTCTTTCATTAAGAGGCTGGTGATATAATTCAAGATTTATATCTTCCAATAGCTTTATTAATTATTTTAAATATGTTCAAGGCTTTTTCATGTGTTTTATGAATTGCATTTATAAAATTCATAAAAATTTAACTTATTGATGAATTATTAAAACACTTGTGATGGTACAAAGTAATCCCATTTGCCACAATTTCAATTACTGTAAGAACCAATATATAACTTTTAGCTAATTTATTCAATTGTGATTCAAATTGTACATAAAATAATGCCTTAAAACACTCAAGATTTTTTTCTTTTCTTGAGAGAAGGGCAAGTAATTTTATATAGTTTCAGTAAGTTTTTTCCTTCTGTGCAGATTTGGCATAAAGTTGTTCATAAGATTATGAGATTTGCATTGAATATGAATGAATATTTTGATACCTTAATCAGTTTTTTCCTTCCTGCTATTATGTACACGATTTAGAGAAAATATATTTGAATGAGCCTTGTTTATCTTTTAGAAATTGTTCCCTTTTTTATATATGCCCTGACCCGGGGAGATTTGTTACTTTATTAGTGACATCAAATAATTCTCTAGTAGTTTGAGTTGAAAGAATGTTACAATGGCCAAGAGGACAGTGATTTATGTCATAAGGAGAAAACCATCAGGTTTCATTCATATAGTATCTAGCATGCTGACAATCACTGTACTGGTTGTCAGCATTTCAGTACACAGGAAGGCATCCACCCTGACTACTTAGGTGACTGACAAGAAACAGCAGTCTTGGGGAAATTTGGGTCTTGGTGCCACAACTATTTCCAGTTGCACTTCACTTTTCTGCATTTTAGTTTTTTCATCTGTAAAGTGAGCCTGACAACAATAGTAATGCTTATATCATAGGATTACTATGAAGAGCAATAAGGTAACGTATAAAAGAACCTTAAAATAATATCTGGTATGTAGTAAACACTCAAGTTGACCTCAGCCATTATTAATTTAATAGTCTGGAAAATAATGTCCAAGTACAATAATTTATATATATAATTTAATTATGAGCAAAAGGCAAGTAATACAGACTTTCCATCTTTTGGATGGGGACTATAAGACCTGATTTCATGAACAGTCTATACCTCGTGACATCTTGCAACAATTTAGTGCTTATTTCCTGTAGGGAACAGGGAAAGGGGAAGTTACCAGAACCTCTGCAGTAAGTCCTAGTCTCCTGCGAGCCACGGCAGTACAAGGCAAATTACAGGAAAGGTAGAAAAACGAGACTGAAAAGAAGCTGAGGTTTGAGTCTGATCAATGCTGCTCTGGGCGGCAAAGATGAAAGCCCCCAGTTTACAGCACCTTTTATTCAGTACATCGGGAGAAACAAATGTAACAAATGACTTGCAGAGAGTTCAGTACATCCTGTGTAAACAAGATGTAACAATCCAAGAACAAAGAGGAATTGAGTAGATGTTTGTTCCTCTCAGGATGTTTTCAGCTCCCAGGATGTTTCTTGTCCTGGAGAATCACAGCATCACCGGATCATTGAGGTCTCAGTTGTGACCGGAGGCCAAAATGGAATTATGTCTCGGAATTCCATAGCTGGGCTGCAGGCAGGAGAACTAGGCTAACCAAATGATTTTTCCCTAAAATTATGTAATATTGCTACCAACAATTTCACACCAGTAGCCTTCTCCCTTATTGAAAATGGCTATCTTATAAGAAAGGAAATCTAATATGCATAAAAATCTCCATTGTTTACCCCCCAAAATACAAATTTTATGTAGTATTATCCTTAAAGGTAGGTGAAAAGAAAACTAATAATACTGGAGAATAAAGGGACATAGGTAGAAGAAGCCAGCTCAAAGAGAAATTTATCTGAAATTTCATATTTCATCATGAAAAATTGTGAATCTGTCCTTTGATTTTTATATCATTCAGATTCTGGGAAGAAATAGCTGGCATTTTTCAAATTGGGCAATTGAAAAGAACGTCATAAAAAGATCATTTGTCAAGGTATATGTAGGTTCTAGGGTAATCCCAAAGTAATAGGGTTCCCTGGGTCTCATGGCAGATTTGGGGTCAGGAATGTGCCCCAGAGAGTCCGGGAGAGGGAGGAGCTACCAGAATCTAGCCTCCCTGGGAGGGGTTTTGGCTTTGATGAACTCTGCATTCAATATGAGACACTCAGATGCAAGAGATCCAGCAAATAAGTGCCCCAACCTTCTTCTTCTCTCTGCAACACATCTCCTACCAGCATCTCTGAGTGCTAAGCGCAACAGATAGCAGTATGGCAAGGGAGCCTGTTGAATCTGTCTATAAATCAGCCTTCAAGTTCACAGAACAGGATGAATGATGGACGAACATGAAGAATGGGCAGAGAAGAGCAAATGACAGATTACAGTATGAGATGCTTATATTTGCTTCAATATGAAAATGACCTAAGTATGTTCCCATTAAAATTACCATTAAATATTTCAGGAAAGTTGGTGCTTCAGGATGGAAGTAAGTGCCTTTGTGTCTTGCTTTGGATAGTATAGAAATAAGCAAGTCATTGACTAAAAAGCTGATCTTTGGCAATTTTGAATCCCCAGTTGAGTGCAGTGTTAGTTTTGTTAGTTTCCTATTGCCACATAGTGAATTACCATAAGCTCAACTACCTACCAGAATACAAATTTGTTTTCTCAAAATTTTTGTAGGGAAGAAGTCTGAGCACAGTGTGGCTTGATTCTCTGCTCAGGGTGTGGCCTGGCTGAAATTCAAGATGTTGGTTCAGGCTACATTTCACATCTAAACTGGTGGGTCCTCTTCCAAGCTGATTGGTTGTTGGCAGAATTGATTCCCTTGCAGTTGTATGAGTTGGTTCCTGTTTACTTTCTAGCAATCTGCTGGGGGGTGCTCTCATGTCCTAGAGGGAGACTGGAGATGTGGTCTTTGCAGGCAGATCACAACATGCATGCTGGCTTTCTTCCAACCCAGTTAGCTGTCTCTTTGATATTTTTTTTGTGGAACCAGTTGGAGAAAACTTGTCTTTTAAAGAGCTCATGTGGTTTGTCAGGTCTATATAATCACCCTATTTTTTTTTTTTTGGTACGGGGATCAAACTCAGGACCCTGTGCTTACAAGGCTGGCATGGTGCCACTGAACTAAATTCCTGGCAATAATCTCCCTATTTTAAGGCCAACAAATTTGGGACCTAAACTACATGTAGCAGTGAGTGAATAACCAAGAGAGACATGCACACGAGCGGCTGGGACTCTTTGGAGTTGCCTTGGAATTCCACTTGCCACACTGGGGTTGAATGAGCCACAGAGGGCAGGTTATGGAGGGAGTGATGATGCTGTTGCCGACCTTTGAAGCCTCGGGTAACTTTGAGGCCTCTAGACTAGAAGAAGTTGCAAACATAGATACCTTCAAGGGCTAAACAGGTCATGTGGCTCAACCATGGCAAGGATATTCTTAGTGACAATGTCTGTTTGCATTTTGGGGGGTTATTTCTTTACTCAATATTGGAAATGTTATCTCAACTCAAAGTTAAAATGCCCAGTCTAATGTAATAATCATGTAAACTATAATGCAAAACTTGATGGGATTGGGAACTCTCCCTTTACCAGCTGCTATGGTTTTAACATGGTTTGTGTCCCCCAGAGACACAAACTCCATTGTGACTGAAAGCTTAGTGTGCAGGGTGGTGCTGTTCAAACATTCTGGAACCTCTGGGAAGTGGGGTCTTAGGTCTATGGAGGTGTGAATTAGTTCCCCTGTGACCCCAGTGGTGGTGCTTATGACAGTGTTGTTATAAAAAGATCTAGCCTGGCCCTACCCATTTTCCTTCCCTTCTGGTGTTTCCACCACTGGCATTCTCCGCTATGCCATCTGAGCCAATGCCAGGACTGTGTCCCTGAATTTCTAAAACATGTGAGAAAAGTAAATCTCTTGTAGCCTGTGTTAGGTATTTAATTACAGTGATGAAAAGCCACTTAATACAACAGCCCTTTATGGAGGAGGGAGTAGCAATTCTGACACTTTGCTCTTTCTACACCTCGGATTCTATTTCTAGCAAACAATCTTGTTGAAGACCAGGGAGGGAATGCAACAAAGAGGATTTGGAAAGTTTTGTGAGTATTGCACTCCCTGAATATGGCACATATTTCCATCTTTCCATCCAACTTGTACTCCTGGGATTTCTGGGGATTCTTTGGAGAATCCAACAGTATCATACACCTGGACCCAGCCATCTCCAGAGATCTGCAGTTTCAGATCTCTTAACACAGGTGAAGTAATGGCTCCTGACTCATGGCCATAAGTTCCTACTTCAACTCCTTTGAATCTGGCAGGCCTCCTTCAGCAGCATGAAGCTATGGGACTAGAGATTTGTTGGTGAAGTCAAACATATTTTCATACATTTACGATGCTTGCTTATACAGTTTGACTAATCTCTGTTGTATTGCTCATCTTTTAAAACTGATTTGTAGGTGTTCTTCCTATTTTCTAGATTCTAATATTTTGTCAGTTATGTGACTTTTGCCTTAATTTGCATATGGAATCTTTT